GCCATGCCTAATTCTGCAGCTCCCCTTGGAGCTGAGCAAGAGGAAATGGACTGTAACAGAAGAAGAGAAATTCAAATTCCCTGGAAGGGACTTTCTGAGGGCAAGCCTGGAACGGATCTTCAGGGCAGGTTGCACAATCTTTTTTGGACATCTCTCGTAGGGGCCGAGAAATATAGTACCTAAAGCTGGGGCTTAAACTAGGTCCAGTCCTGGCTTTCTGTGATTTAGCTCTGTGATCTTGGGGAAATTACTTAGCCTCTCAGTGCCTTCATTATTCTTGGTCATAAATTGGGAGTCATAACAGCAAGACACTCATAGATGAATGGGAGGATTAAATTAGATAATACATCCTAAGTCAGTACTAAGTCAGTACTCAGTACCTGGTCTGTAAGCAGGTATTAAGTATCAGCTATTAGCTATTGTCAGTGCCATTCGGTGCATGCCTGCTGGAAGAATGACAGCCGGAACACCACTGAAAATATAGTCCACTGCTACCGTGGATTCCCTTATGTTCTGAACAATGAGATTACCGGGGAGTGGTCCCATTTCTTAAGGCTTAATGAAGCTCTGGGCAGTTATTTTTCACAGTGGTTTTCTATTTCTGGAATGTCTTCTCTTTTCTGGTCTGTTGTCATCCAGTAGGCTGTTAGTGGGGAATCAGAGTGACTTAAATCGCTCCCCTGGACGGAGGCAGGAAACAATTAAAAAGAAATGGGAAAAGAGGCTCCTCGGGTAGAGTTACAAGGCTTAACACCAGGTAGCATTTCCTGACAAGACTCAGCTTGGAATCTCTTAGCAACTTGGAAGAGTGAGTCCTCACATCTGCCTGACCCCTCCCTCCATGCATTCCTAGCAGCCAGAACTTTATCAGTGTTGATGTCTGATAGAGGCTCACTTCCTTGGCTGAGCTGCTTATGGGGAGAGAAACTGGCTTTTCTCACTCACACTTGTACTCCTGGGCAGAGGCACCCTGGGCAGCAACACGTCCGACCCGGGACCATGTAATCACCTGGAGATCTGTATTCTTCATATGCTTTTATAGTCACATAACGTAGGTGGTTTCTCCCTACTGTTGATGGCGGGCAGTTTTTGGTGAGGCTGTTAAGAGACGCCAGGGCAGGGGCAAAGGGTAAGGGGTAGGAACGTCTGCAGAGTAACTTGGGATTCACTCCCTGCAGCATCCTCCAGTCTGCCGGGGAATAGGACGGAAAACCCAGCAGCAGTGACCTGGAATGCATGCTTTCGGTTTTGCCCAAGTGGCCTGATTTTCCCTGGGGATGAATCATCTGGTTCCTGCAACAGCCCCCCCCCCCCCACAGCCCACCTCCCCTGCAGGGACCTCCGGGTCACCTTGATGGCTGGACATTCCTCTGTGGCTGTCACTAGAACTTCTGCTTGTGGCTGAGTTTTTAACCACCATTTAAAAACAGGAACTCACAAAACAGATGAACTGGGGAAATGGATGATTATTTGTATTTGCTATATATAGGAAAGAGTCAGTTTATAACAGAATTATTTTTATATGCTCTTTTTTTCCAGAGCTCAGAACAGCCATCCAATCTAATGATGCCTCTAAGCATTTATTTTTATAGTATCTCCTCTCTCCCTCCTTGGGGTCACACATGAGCTCTTCCCGACTCTTCTACCACGTATATGACCTTTCCTAGTGCCTGGCTCTGAGCTCAGCACTCAGCAAGGTCCGGCGACTGATCCTGACTGCTGGTGATCCTGAGGCGTGAGCTAGGGGAGCCATCCGGGTGTCTAGGAGTGTCAGCCATGCTGCTAGAAGAAGGAATCCTTCTTCCTCCAAGGTAGCCTGGCAATCAGAGGGCGAAGCAGGTGTGTTCACCCCACCTGGCCTTCCCCTGTCCTGGCTGGAATAGTCTGTGCAACGTTGGAAACAGCCTGGGGGTGCTCTGCACGGGCCTGCCTACGTGACCCCATTCCTCTGTGACTTGGAAACAGGCAAAGCGTGAAGCATGAAAATATATGGGCTGCAAGGAAGAGGGCTCTGCGCATTACTGCCGTTTGACTTTCCACCTCTCGGATTAAGTCTGATTTATTTGGCTGTGATGGAGTCTTATGTCTGTAACGAAGGGGGTTGTTTAAAAATGAGGCGTAATCTCTGAGCCTTGTGAGGGTCCAGCTGTCAGCGTGGACTGCTCAGCCAGGGGTTCTATGCAGTCTGGGCTTGGTGCCCACAGTCCCTCTTCAGCTTTATTCCCAGGATGTCCCCATCACACCCATTTTGCACCTTCTCTTGAACAGGGCCCCCGCGGTTGTGCCTCTGGAGTCTTTGCTCGCACTGTTTATCTAAGCAGGAAGCCCTTGTCCTCTGTCCAGATTGCCAGCCCCTGGAGGGGACAGAAAGTTCGTTTTCTTTACATCTCTAGCGCCTTAAGATGATGCTTGGCACAGCCAAGAAACTCGATAGATGCCTATTAAATGGGTGGATGGATGGATGGTTGTTTCTCATCTCACCTGTCCTGCCTGCCCTGCAGGTAGGGAAATTTATCGAGTGCTTATCATGTGCCAGGCTCTAATCTAGGCACTTGGGATACATCAAAACGCAAAAATCTCCGCCCCTTAAGGAGAGACCTTACATTCTAGTGGGGATGACAGATAAAAAACAATAAGTAAGTAATGTGGCAATAAGTTCCCTGGGAAAGCAGGAAGAGCAGGAGAAGGGAGGCGGGAAGCGTGTGAGGTGGGGCAGACTGTCGTATTAAATAGGGTGGTGAGGGCAGGCCTCAGCTGGGATGAATGGGTCCCCACCTGAACAGTCACCGAACTTTATCTGAACCTATCCTCTGGCATTTTGCATATTCTTTGTACGTGTGTATTTACACATACACATTAATACATGCACTTACACATACATACACATCTGTACATACATGTCGGACACGTATGTTGGCTCTCTCACTAAGCTGTCAGCGTCCAGAAGTGGCTTTTATGCCTGATTAGTATTTATATCCTTTTCAGCATCTAACACATAAAAGTGCTCCATAAAAAGTGGTCAGATGAATGTGTGCTTAATAATTGATTTGCTGAAAAGAATTATACTGACTCATTTTTTTCCTTCCTACAGAAGTAATAAGTGGCATATTGACTATTTTACACACACACAGAGAACTTGATGTCTTTATGTGGGGTAGCAAATACCTTTGGGTGCTTTGTGAAGAGCACTCACACTTAAATTCGGCTTAAGGGTTGATCTGGGACAGTGGCCTTTGGGAAGAAAATATAATAAGCAGGGAACACGCACAGGGGGGGGGGGGGGGGGGGGGGGGGGGTGCAGAGGCAGGTGGGGCAGTGCTTTCTGTCTATAAAGGATCTGCTTTTCTAAGATGCACCAATTCTTTTAGCCTGGCCAGGCAAGCTTTGGTAAATGTTTTTGCTTCGGGGGACTGATGAATGCTTTGGTGTCCCTAAAGTATTAATGTGGTTTTTACAAAGGATGGTGACATGTGGACCCTGAGGAAAAGCCGTGGGATTAGGTCAGGTAAATCCCTGTTTGGGAGGGAAACCAGGTGCAGAGAGGTGGGGCAGGCAGCAGAAATGGGTGGCGTGAATGCCTGACCTAATCTGGAGAAAAGACCTTCCCCTAGACCCCGAAGGGGACAACTGGTCTTGTCTGTTGCTGTGAAACTTAGATGAAATTTACTCTCTTGAGAGTTCCTCTGTGCTGTGCTATATCCTGTTTGTAATTTCTCAAAGAGAATAATAAAAATGGTGCTATTAATAAAACAGCTTCCATTTACCACCATGGACCCATCTCCATGTTCAATTTCTATCCAATATCGCAATTCTTATAGCAATTCTGGGAGCTAAGGGTCACCGTTCCTTTTTATGGGCAACAAGACTGCCGTTTCAAGAGGCCAGCTTCGCCAAAGTTGCCCAGATAGTAAATTGTCAAAGCGAGGGTTTGACTCCAGGCCTGTCGGACTCCAAAACTTGGCCTCACAACCACCACAGGAGAAGAGAATTGTTTTCTCTTTAAAAAAAATCTGGAGTACCCCCTTAAAATATAATTGTGGAGACCACAGAAACACAGAGCATTGTAGGGGCTGCATTTGCATATCAGCGTATGTTGTAGTGACAATTAGGGATGACAACATGGTACCCGTGTGATGGATGTAGTAAGTGGGCCACTTATGCGTACCAACAAGTGCTAGAAAGATGTGGCAAAAGGGGAAGAGGTTAGGTGAGCTTGGTGAGATTATGGAGGGTTTTCTTTAATATCATTGATATATATTTTTAAACTCTCTCTCTCTCTCTCTCTCACACACCCCACAACACGTTCACACACACAAACCCAAAGCATGTGCAGTATGTTTAGCCTCTTCTTGCTTCCATGATCCAAGGCCAGTCCAATCCAAGGTTACAGTGATGTCTGCCACCCCCCACCCAACACTCTCTACCAAATTCCCTTCTTGGGTTCATATCTACCCAAGTAAATCAACAGCTTTCTCAACAGTGATCGATGGTCTTGCCCATTCCTTTCGATCAGATCCTTTTCTTCTGTTTAATCTACCATCTATTTCCATATACCAATCCTGGAACAAGTAGACACTCTGGGAATATTTGTGTAAACAAGTCCCATCCCACCAAAGTACAGATTTACTCTCTTGTACTAAGCTTTCAAGTTCATTTTGCTTAACAGCCACAGTTAGTCCATGGGTGTAAATGTCCGAGACTATAAAGCACCCTTTCAACTTCCTCTGCTGCCGCTCTCCCCACCCACTGTGCTAGGCTCCAGCCAGACAGACTCATTTCAGTTCCTCAGACCCACTAGATTCTTTCCCGCCTCAGGGCCGTCGCAGATCCTGTTCCTCTCCTTGAAGTGATCTTTCTTCCCTCCGCCTCCAATCTGACTCTTCACAGGTCCCGCTGCTTCTCATCTTTGGACTCTCAGCTTGACCATGGCTTCCTGAGGGAGGCCCCTCACCACTTTCTGCACAGTAGTGGGGGGGGAGGGGGTTAACACCTTATTTCCTTTGTAGTCAAGCATTATTTGTAATTATGTGTCTATTTGTCTGCTGCCTTGCTATCTTTTTCCGCAGGATGTCAGCTCTACGAGGAAAGGGATGGATTCTGTCATTTTCAACAGCCATACCTGGAAAAGCCTGGCACAGAATAGTTGCTCAAGTATTAGGTGAATTGAATGGATGAATGAATGAACAATTGAATGAGTATTTTTCATGATCTTTTTTCTCCTACTTTTTTTTTAATTTAAAATTAAAAAACTTTTTTAATTAAAAAAATTTTTCTTAAAAATTATTGGGTACTTTCTCACTGTTGTTCTTCTGGTTATATAAATGGATGACTTTTCCCCTTGAATGTGATTTTAGGGTTTTATCTGTCAATTTTTCTCCTTTAATTTTCAGGGGGTCATTTTATGTTCTTTGAACAATGATGACAGATCTTCTATTCTGTTCTTCCCCGCCCTAATAAGATGTACCCCTTGTCTGGACAGCAAACTGGGAAAATCAACATGATTGTAGAGAACACTATGTAGAAGGGAGGAAATTGGGGAGTGAGGCCCTGGAATTAAGGCAGAATATCAAAGAGAAGAAATACTGCCCTGGGCATGTGCCCCAGACTACTTTCCAGGTAGAGGTACCTTGAGGCAGAGATAATTTAGGGTTGAAACTACCTATTCAAAATGTGCTCTGCTAATCAGCAGCACAAGCAGCACCTGGAGTGTGTTTGAAATGCAGAAGTTTTAGGGGCTCCTGGGTGGCGCAGTCGGTTAAGCGTCCGACTTCAGCCAGGTCACGATCTCGCGGTCCGGGAGTTCGAGCCCCGCGTCAGGCTCTGGGCTGATGGCTCGGAGCCTGGAGCCTGTTTCCGATTCTGTGTCTCCCTCTCTCTCTGCCCCTCCCCCGTTCATGCTCTGTCTCTCTCTGTCCCAAAAATAAATAAACGTTGAAAAAAAAAATTTAAAAAGAAATGCAGAAGTTTTGGGCCTGGCATTGGGCCTAGTGGATCAGAATCAGTATTTTTGACAGGCTACTTGGGTCATGCGTATGACCAATACATTTTCCGAATCACCAGTCTACTCAAGATAACAGCTGGCAATTCAGTTTGCTAAAGGCAGAAGAAGCATCTACTAAATTATTGGCACATGTTGCTGACAAGTTCATCCACCAGGCGTGAGGGATACTGCCTGCGTGAGCCCTTCCTCTGGCCGCAAACAAGGCTGAAGCGGACGTGAGCTGGGATAATTCAGGTGATCTTCTCACTTAACTTGGAGTTCTTGTGAGCCAAGATGGGGACTTGGGGCGACGGTCAAATATTGTTGGCGACAGAGGAGAAGATTTCAAAGATAAGCTCCAGGCAAGGTTTTTTAAGGGCAGATGGCATGACAAGGTGAGAGCCTTTCCAAACAGAGCCTCTGCTATGTAAGAAACCAAAAATGGTGCCAGTGAGGAAGAAAAGGAGGGTGTCTAAAAAGGTGGGTGTGGCTGCCTAAGGTAACTTACAGAATCCAGACATGCACAGAAGGAGGAAGGAAGAACACACGATCAAGCATGAATTTAGAAAGACTTAACTTGGATCTATACCAAGGGTGGCAGGTGGTTAAGGAAAGAAAAAATGTAACTTGTTAAAGTGTTGACGACAAGAGCTTCTCTGAGTAAGTGTGGAGCGAGAAGGGCTAGAAAGGACTATTTCTGCTATTTGGAAAGCAGAGACTGTCACTGGCTCAGCGAGGTCGGCCTGACCACTGGTCCCGACTCTGTCACTGTCTATCACATCGTCCTTTTGTATTTAGTTCATGGCACTTTTCCCTGCTTGGAATTGTGTAGTTTATTTATTGTTTTCTTACTTGTTATCTATTTCGATCTCTTCTAAGATGTAAGCTCCATGAGAGTAGTGCCTTCATTGGTCTTATTGGCCACCAGATTCCCAGTGCCTGGCACACGACAGAGCCACAAAAATGTGAATGAACAAACCCAAGTCTGAGACAAAGCCAAACGCCTCAACCCCTGTGTTCTGGGAGAGGCGTCCAAACTCTATTCACTTCTTTCTGCTCTGTCCAGGTCTGGACATGAGGCTCTCCAAAGCACAATAAACTTATAAAGAAAAGAGGAGAGTTACTCACCTTTCTTGAGAACCCTTGCCGTGTCCACATGTGTGATATAAATTATGCCATTTAGCCCTCACACTAACAGGGGCTGGTATTCTCATTCCCCTTTAACAGATGAAGAATCAAGTCCAGGGCGGTTAAATGACCTGTCCTAGGTTACTCAGGAAGCTAGTTAGGAATTAAGTCTCTCTGGGCCCAGAACCCATTCTCTTTCTATTATATTGAGGCTTGGCAGGAAATGGAGTAAAAGAGAAATGCACCCTTTAACTGCTTTTTAAATTCGCTTAAGTCGCCAAGCCTTGGACAAGGTAAGTATAAATTATTGCCACAATAATGCCGCTTTAAAAACCATTTCAAAACCCTGTGGTGGACAAAAATGAGCACTTATTTCTTGTTCGTGTGCTTGTGGGCTGGCTGCTGTTTGGCTGATCTAGGCTGAGCTCTGCTAGACGTGGCTTCAAGCTATGCATTGGGTCCAACTTTGCTCCGTGTGTTTAGCATTACCCAGGTACCAGTAGGCCTTCTGGGGCATATCCTTCCCTCGGTCATGGCAGAGCACGACAGGATGAGAACTATATGATACGATGTGTAAGGCTTGGACTCAGAAGAGGCACATCGTTCCTTCTGCCCACATTCCAGTGGCTAAAGCGAGTCACAGGCAGCCAAGGTCAACGCCAATGAGACGGAAGATACACACCATCTCTGGTGGGGAGAACTGCCAGTCACATGGCAAAGGGTATTGATCCTGAGAGGAGTGAACCAAGGGGAGTAAAGGTGTGGTTGGCCATAGGAACGTGCGTGGAGCCTACATGGTATACGGGGGCCATGCCATGCGCTTTAAATACGTGATTTTGTGGAAGCCTCACAAAGACCCCATTTGGTGGGATTACTGTTATCCTTATTTTTTCAACAAGAAAATTCAGGCTCAAGTTGGTTAGTTCTCACTGAAGCAAAAGGCCTTGTGGGGACATACATCCAGGTCTATCAGGCACCAAAGCCCATATTCTTAGCCCTGACTCAACTCTATTGAAACAACCAGCAGCTTTGATGGAGAAGGAGCTGCTAGGAATGTTGCAAAAGCCGCGGCTGATGGAGAAAGGGCCGGAAGACAGATACACCCCAATGGATGAATTTTCAGAGGAGGTGGGAGAAACTGTATATAAGCGTGAGTTTCTGTTTGTGTCCTGGATGGATGTCCTATAAAATACTCTAGGGAAAAAGCCTGTGGTTGGGCTAATAAATCAGGCTGGGCACTGGTAGGAGTTCGGTGAATTCATCTGAGCATCCTCATGCCTCAGCTTGGGTGGGTAACGTTCAGTCAATCCCTTCTGCTTCCAGTCTTGGTTTTATACTCCTGCGATCAGGTGCTGCTCTGTCATGCCTGACCACCTTAATTCTCAATTTACCTATTCCCCAGGCCTTTGATTGCGGTCACTTCAGGTGTGGCTTTGCAGACTCCTCGTGTGAATGCCCACGTACATTCCTGCTGCTCACCCGCACTGCCTTGCGTGTGGCTCCCAGACAAAGATAGGCACCTGACACCCTTCTCTCCTTACTAATCTGGCATGCCATCAGGATTCTCCCAAGGCCTATCACCCCAAGGAGAGATACCTCCCTGGAACATTCTAGAACAAATTTAGAACAAGTGGCCTGTGGGGATTTCTACAGGATGTGTGGGGGTAGCACGAGCTCAGGAAGGATGAACCTGGTGTAGCAAATCTGATTTCCTTTGTGAAAAAGCTGGACAGGCAGATCAAGGGAGGGTCATGAGGGTAGCGTCCTGGATTTTAAGGGGTTTGACAAATCCTTTCATGATCTCTTTGAGAAGATTGGGAAACACAGGCTGATTTAGGACAAATAGATTAGTTCTTGGCTGGTTAAAAAATTTTGCTGTCATTAATCAGATGTGCTGATTAGTGACAGCTTGAGGGAGGCTGCTGGCATTGAACAATAGAACTCTGTCCTCAGTCAGTCCTGTCCGGGTCCTCCCCCACCTCGCTCCCCTCACCCTTCCTCACCCTCCTTTCTGTCTTTTTGAATAACTTAGATGAAGATACAAGAGACTAGTTTATAACATTAGTGAGTGGCAAAAACAAAGGGGGAGTAGCTAACACCCAAAAAAGTGAGGGTCAAAGCTTCAAAAATAATGATGTACATATACAGCACCTTACAAAGCTCTTCTCTAAAGAATGATCTTATTTAAGTCTCTAAACAACTTTCAGTGGTAGGTATAACCAATTATTCTCATTTTTTAATTAGTTAATTAATTTACTTATTTATTTTTAAATTTGAAGTAATTTTTTGTATTAAATACAATTTATTGTCAGATTGGTTTCCATACAACACCCGGTGCTCATCCCAACAGGTGCCCTCCTCAAAGCCCATCACCCACTCTCCCCTCCTTCCCACCCCCATCAACCCTCAGTTTGTTCTCTGTATTTAAGAGTCTCTTATGCTTTGTCTCCCTCCCTCCGTTTCTGTAACTTTTTTTTCCCCCTTCCCCTCCCCCGTGGTCTTCTGTTAAGTTTCTCAGGATCCACATATGAGTGAAAACATATGGTATCTGTCTTTCTCTGCCTGACTTATTTCACTTAGCATAACACTCTCCAGTTCCATCCACGTTGCTGCGAATGGCCAGGTTTCATTCTTTCTCATTGCCAAGTAGTATTCCATTGTATATATCAACCACATCTTCTTTATCCATTCGTCAGTTGATGGACATTTAGGCTTTTTCCATAATTTGGCTACAATTATTCTCATTTTGGATGAGGCTCAGGGCTTACATAAATTCCCCAAGACCATTCAACACAATACTGCAGAGCACCCAGGTTTATATCCTGGTTTTTCTGATTTCAAATTCTATACTCTTTAAAATGGACCCAAACAAACAAGAGAAAATTAATAGCAACATTAAAAAAAAAAATACAAGCACAAGTTGGGAGAGAGATCTGGTGTACCAACTGCCATGGGAAGGCCACTCAGCATCACCCCCGGGTCCAAGATCAGTGCCAGTAGACCACTGTCTTGCTCTTTGGCAGAGATGACATTCTTCTCCCCAGCATGGCCTCCTCCAGACCACTAGTAAGTTCATCTCGCGGGAGCTGAACAAGAATGTGGACTTGGCCCCCACTCTCATAAAGCTACCACCTCCTGGTCTGGTTCAGGGGTACCTGGAGCATGGAAAGACACGAGCTTAAGAGTCTTGCCAATTACTGGCACCATACTCTCACCCTTTCTGGACTTAAGACCTGGCTTCAGTAATTCAGGAGACTTGAGGAGATTTTGGTTTCTCTGGAGAATGCCCACATATGGTTAGCCATGTTTATTCTGCTATACCTCCTGGGACCTTCTCATATTGCAAAAGATTGGAACTTACCCTTTTTAGAATCATCCAGGTAGGCAAGTAGATTGAGTAACTCATCTCCTTTCCTTTACCTCCTGGGCTGTTTGGTAGAGGGGAGAAGAAGGGCAAGGTGGAGGAATGTGCAGAAACTGTAGGCAGAGACGCCTTTGTGAATTTCTTTCTCGGTGTTGCATTTTGTCTTTCTGAGTCCCTCTGTCTTCTGGGTGATACAAGGAAGCTACTGTTTGCCTAGAATTTAATACTCCCTTCTGTTTGTTTTAATCCTTACCAGGAACAGGTGTTCCTTTTGGTTTTTGAAGTTTTCATCAACAGAAGTTTACTCGTTTGGCACCATAAAACTGTACTGTAAAACAAGACAAATGATTTTATACATCGTAAAAGTAGAAACAAATTAAGTATTTTCAAAGCAATAATATTTTGGACTACATCCAAATACCAAGTACTTACCTAGGGCAATAACTGAACTCTCCCGGAACAATAGATTGTCAAGTTGATTGGTTTCTTTTGTACAATAGTAGATAATAATTTACCAAAAGCTTCTTGTGCTGGGACTTTACTAGCAAAATGCGATGGCCAGAAGCTACGTACCCTCATCTTACCTACAGGTTAAGTTTCTGATGATGGACTTAATACCAACTTCTGATCTCCTGAATTTACATGAACAGGCGTCAAAACTTGGTGGTGGTCCTCTAGCCTAGCACTCGACACTTTGCCTTTCTGTTAATCACTTTCCCTCCTCCATTATTAACATCAAATACATACCATAGCACCTATTTCCCGCATTGTAGCTTTCACTATGTGTCCTTCACTCTAACCCTACAGCCAACAATCCCTCCTGTACACATGGGCCACTTTCACCCATTTCTCCCCACTTCCTAATTAATCTCTTTGAGTTTCATTGTAAATGGCACACTTCCTCCTTCTCCTCCTTTTGTTTTTCTTTTATCAACTTTATTAAGGTATAATTTACATACCATAAAATGTGTCCATTTTCAGCGCACAAATTCAGTGATTTTAGTACATGAACAGAGCTATGTAACCATCACCATAATCCAGCTTAAGCACATTTCCATCGCCCCATGATATCTCTCATGGCCATTTTTCCCAACCCCAACTCCAGGCAACCCCTAATGTACTTCCTGTCGCCTCGGGTTTACCTTTTCTAGATATTTCATGTAAATGGAATAGTTTTTTTGTGTATTTTTTTTTTTCACTTAGCATAACGTATCTGTGTTTCCTCTTTGTGGTAGCATGTACCAGTACTCTGTTGCTTCTTATTGCCGAATAGAACCCATTGTATGGACGTACCACCTTTTGTTTATCCTACCACTCAGTGAGGGACATTGGGATTGGGCCCACTTTTTGGCTCTTGTGAATACTGTTGCTACGGACATTTGCATACAAGTCTTTGTGTGGACATACACAGGTTCTCGTTTCTCTTCGGTACTCAGGTGTGGAATTGACGAAGGCACACGTCTTTTTAATAGTAATTTTAACAATGTCATGATTGGCTACCTACAGATATACTAAATTTGGGGAACAATTCGCAAAGCCAGTTGACCATTCGGTTCAAACATTTGAACAGTTATTCAATTTAGTTGTCATAGCTTCATTGAAGCGGGACGTTTTACTGCATCTCTCAACTGGCCTTGCCCCTTCCACCATTCTGAATATATGGAGAATTATGCATTTACTCAGTGAAAATTGATTAATTATAGCATTTTTATAACTATCCTTTAAATACTTTAAATACTTCACCAAATGATATTTGCCCTGCCATATTACAATGTCAATGATTCCCCTTAAAAACCTGGACCCAAGTGGTCACTCTAAAAATGGTATCATACTTAATTAAGAAGCACAGTACAATGGCCAAAAGTAATTAAAAAGGAATTCCACTCCCTCCTCACGTCTCCGGAAGGACAGCAAAGCAGAGCTAAGCACACAATAAACAGAAAACCCCTTCTTCACACATACATACTTCACGCTCTCGGTTCAAGTCCCCCCGCCCCAAAACCTTTCCCTTTCTCTACTGTGTGTTATTATTTTTTGCCCCTCTCCACACCCTCCTTTCTTTCCTTATGTGGATGCACTTAGCTCCTCTCCCAGTACGAAAGAATTCTTTCTGGATAGAGGAGGAAAATCAGGTTGGCACTTCAGGATTTCTCTTGGAAGGATGAAGGACCACGAAGTCTTTTCACATGTTATAAAGTACAAAACATGATGAAAATGTAATATATTACTCTGATTTTTGCAGCCATCAACATTATCAATGATATAAGATGATAGAATAGATATGCCTTGTACCCCAAACAAATCACTCGTCTGCTAAAATACTCCCAGGTCTTTAATATTGTATTTTATCCATTTTAGAACCCTCTCTCCCATTTTTTAACATTTCTGAAATAAGAATGTGCCTTTTGATGAATGATGTTTTCTAATCACCCTTAGCCACCCCCCCACCCCCATTTTAAATTTTTTTTTTTCAACGTTTTTATTTTTGGGACAGAGAGAGACAGAGCATGAACGGGGGAGGGGCAGAGAGAGAGGGAGACACAGAATCGGAAGCAGGCTCCAGGCTCTGAGCCATCAGCCCAGAGCCCGACGCGGGGCTCGAACTCACGGACCGCGAGATCGTGACCTGGCTGAAGTCGGACGCTTAACCGACTGCGCCACCCAGGCGCCTCCACCCCCATTTTAAAGTGTCTGAAATCTTATAATCAGAGAGGCCTGAGATAAACTAAGGGCTATGGGTTTCACCTGTTTGGCGCTGTATACCGTTGTGGAGCAGGTAGTTGGGGCAGCTTGCCCAAGAAGGGGAAAGATCTGTAGCGCTGTCAGGACGGTGGCCATCTGCCCTTGGGGTTTGGTAACTTATCTCACTTATGAGACCCGGGTAAAAGGGAGGTTGGGGATTCCATATGCACCTCACTGTGTACATTCCACTTCCCGATTCCTTGCTGGGCGCGTGGGATTCCTCACCAGCCAATTTCAATAGAAGGCAGCCTATCTTGGAAATATATACCACGTCTCACGTCAGGCTTTGCATTCCTGTGACATTCGCTCCCGAGTTGCTGTAAGCTCCTGCGGGGCGCCTTAAGGGACCCGTGATTAGAAGTTCTATGGAACAATTTCGACTGATGCCAAATGATGGTGTATCAGCCCGCCTGCCGCCCAGTAGCGCCGGGAATGTGCGATAATGTTATGGTAAGGAAGTGCAGAAGCACAGGAAATGAAAACAATACAGTGGCCTGGGATGGAGATCCAGGACAGAAATGACTTCAGGGCGGTCAGGGTCTGTTTGTAAAAGCATAGGCTGTCCAAGCCAAAAACAATTGGGGCAGAAATCTATAGCTGCCGCTCCCAGTAAGCAGCTTGCCCGGAGAAGGGCAAGTTTTCAGAGGCTCCTCCAGTCTAACGGGGTCTCTGGTGGAGACAGCAAAGCCGCTGAGTGCAGGGATGCTATTTGGTCTGGCTGATCCCCAGCAGGGCCAGGTGTCCAGACCCTAAGTAAATAAAGGGCAGTAAGAACGTAGAAGGGCTCCTCTTTCCGAAGATGCATTTCTATCTTCCTTGCTTCCTCTTACGGTTTGTTGATTTAGCACGTACTGTGATAGTTTTTGCTTGCCGGACGGTTGGTAGGCCGGTCGGGGAGTCTGGATATCTGGAGAGAGTTTGGATTTGGATCTCTTGTCACACATGGCTGATCTGAATCCTTGTGGCCTTTGAGTAGGCTGACCTGGGGCTCTTCTAGTTTCAGAAGGTGCTAGATGATGTGGCCATCATAATCCCAAACCTGCAGGCACCCCGCAGTAACACCTGAACACGTGGCTCTGAAATAGGTGACTCTGCTCCCAGAATATTGTGGGCAGGGTGGCATGTCATTCGTATCCTCCTCCTGCCTAAAGCCAAGTCTTACATCACCTGTAGCCTATGAGATAACAGTGCAGGGGTGAGGCTGCCAGCAGCTGGGGCCCTGGGCTTGTGGGGGTGGAGAGAAAGAGGGAAGAAGTGGAGCCAGCTAGAATCATTTGTCTCTTTTTACCACTTATGGAGAGATTTGTGCATACCAGGCACTATGTTATTCAGCTTTTATAAACCTTATCTCATGTTATCCTTTTAAGAATTCATATGTATCCGTCAGGGTTCTTCGGAGAAACAGCCCCAACAGAACAGTGTGTATATAGATATAGTTACAATATACAATACAAATGTAGGTACAATATGGATAGAGGTGGACTTTTATGTCTGATACAATATACATACAATAGATAAGATACAATAAATAAATGTCCATATATAATATATGTAATAATGTCTCTCTATATACACACAGCACATAGAGTGTTATATAACATATATATGTGCTATGTGTATCTCTCTCTCTCTCACATATATATATATATATAATATACATTTAAAATATAAATTATATGTAATACATATATGTGAGAGAGAGAGTTTTTAAGGGATCAGTCCATGTGCTGGCAAGCACCGAATCTATAGAGTGGGTCTGCAGGCTGCCTTGGGAAGAGTTGATGTTGTGGTTGAAGTCTGAAAGCATTTTCCTGGCAGAAATAACTCTTGCTCAGGGGAGGTCAGTCTTTTCGTTCTGTTCGGTTCTTTGCCTGATTGGGCCAGGCCCACCGACATTACAGAGGGTGATCTCAAACTCTGTTGACTTAAATGGTAACGTCATCCAAAAACACCCTCACAGACACATCCAGAGTAGTGTTTGACTACGTATCCGGGCACTTTGGGCAGCCAAGTTGATGTATAAAATTAACCACCACAGGTATGCTTTACTGTATACATTTCACCGATGGAGAAATTGGGTTCAGACATTTGAAGCAATGTGCCTGAGACCACAAAGCCAGTAAATGGCAGCTGTAGGATTGTTTGCCCTTATGGTTTTGAACCCAGGAACTCTGTATTTAAAGCTTAGGCTCGTAGCCACTTGGTCGTATTATCTCCTTACGTGCAGTACTGCTGGAGGGACCTGATGCGGAGGAAAGTCAGTGTTTGTGTGGAAGCTACTATGAGGATAAACGGAGCCTAAGTAGCTAAGAAATGTTGGCCAGAGGAGGGCCTTTGTGACTCTCAGGAACCAAACAGGAGCGGGGAATGGGGGCTAGTCAGACCAAGCAGACACTGCTGGGTGGTTTTTTGGCGGTGAGCCGCACAGCGTAGGGTCGTTTGGGCAGGGTTAGTGGTCGGTGAGAAAATGGAGCAGGGAAAGACCAAGAATCCCAGCATCCAAGAAGGCGAACGGATTGGTGAGGAAGCTCACACTCCAGAAACCCTCCCATTTCAGATAAGGGAGGAGAGACTCCACTTCTCAAAAAGGGGTTGTAGGTGGGAAGAGACTCGCCTAGTTCCCTGGCCAACAGTCCCGCTGGCCCGTTCCGAGGGGGGAGGCTGGTCTCGAGGCGGAACTCTCAGTGCCGGCTCATCCTTTGCTTACCCCAAGACCAGGAATCAGACTTAGGAGAATCCTGTCTGTGAGGAAATCCTAGCTCCAAAATGCTTCTCCCCTGAGAATGAGGTAGACATTCCGAAATCTGAAGGAAAGCCCCAGGGGCCTAGGTGCCCTAACACAAAGCTCCAAGAAGACTTGCAAAAACTGGAGGGAGGAATGTAGGAGACTCTCGGAAAGTTCCGTGGCAGAACTTAGGATCCTATGACGTTAGACATAAAAGAGACTCTAGGAGTTTTCTCAAAAAAGACCTGTGATGATTTATAAGTTTTGAGCAAGCAATTAAACAAAAAAAAAAACAAAAAAAAAAAAAAAAAAAATCAAGGGGCGCCTGGTGGCTCAGTCGGTTAAGCATCTGACTTTGGTTCAGGTCATGATCTCGCAGTTCATGAGCTCAAGCCCCACGTCGGGCTCTGTGCTGACAGCTCAGAGCCTAGAGGCTGCTTCAGATTCTGTGTCTCCAGCTCTCTGCCCCTTCCCCACTTGTGCTCTGTCTCTGTCTCTCTGTCTCTCAAAACTAAACATTAAAAAAAATTTTTTTTTTTTAAATCAAAAGAATTTAAATACAAATCCACATTTCAGGGCTCTCTTAAGAAATTGGAAGTCTGCCAACACAGAGCTCACATTCCTGTGGTGGTTGAATGGTGTTGCTGCAGTCGAGAACAAGTCCTCACTTCAGGAGGTGCCCGGGCCAGACCTCCGCAGTCCCCACCTCTCCGTATTGCCTCTGGACGCCAGCGCTTTTCTGACACTCAGTGCACTTCCTTCCTTCACGTTTGCTGCCTGACTCTGGAATTCCTGCGGTAGACCAACATTTCCTTTACCCAGGAGGAAACTAGGGCCCACAGAGGGGATATATCCTCCCCAAGACGACGTAAATGAGGACTTTAATCCAGGACCTTTCGTACCCAACCCAACCTCTTTTTTTCCACACTCAGAAAAGAAACCCTTGTAAAACGATGATCTCCCGACTCGGGTCTAGCATGCGCTCCATTATCACCCTTGGAATGCTAGAAGGACTCTGGGAAATAAGAAGCAGAAAGGGAATGTGAAGGTGATGCTGTAAGATTTTTTTTTTTTTTTAACAGTAAGAGACTGTGACTCGGAGAGGAAAAAATTTCCCCAATCGCAAAGACCAAGGAAGCAAAACGCAGAAGAGAAAGAGGAAGGAAGTTCAAGCCTGCCCCAGAATTTAAGCTTTCGGAAGCACCAAAATCCCCCCTTGACTTGGGAACCTAATTATTACAGAAAGCCTTGCTTAGTTCAGAGTCTGGGGACTGTCAAAATTAAGAAACTTTAGAAATTGCAAATATTTTTTTTTTGTAGATGAAAGATAAAAACGAGCTTGGATGGGGGAAAGAGGAAGTTCTATTTTTGAAGTGGACCCCGGGGTAGAATAAATACCGTCATAAAAGTAAGACAGTGATATAGGCATGCTGCTTCAAAAACTTCAAAAAAGCAACTTGATTTGCATTATCTTCCTATGTCATGAAAAGTTTATAATTGTTTTATGGCCAATAGGGTCTCCTAACTTTTTACTCCCCTGATGGAATCCTGTGATTTCAGATAGAGATGCCTAAACTCTAAGAAGATGCTTGGAAACGTCTCCGACCGAATGGCCATGAGAACGGAGTCGTTGCTTGAAAAGTGGTTTTATCTCACGTAAGGGTGCTTGGTATTTTTTGTTTCTAGCGACCGTGTGTAGAAATTAGCTCCTCCAGGAAAGGAGTCTCCATCTCTCCATCTCTACTAGTCCGGGCAGGTCTTTAGTGATCTCTACAGGGGATGTGAGTCAGGCACTGGCCCCTGGGAGGGTAGTGGGGAATCCGAGCTTTGTGGCTCCTGGACTCACTCACAGGGCTGCTTCAATCCTACTGTGCACTGTCACTCACTAAGGCTGGATATGGTATGACATTTCAACAATTTCTCTTCTTCTTCTTCTTTTTTTAATGTTTATTTTTGAGAGAGAGAGAGGGTACGAGCAGGGCAGGGGCAGGGAGAGAGGGAGACAGAGAATCTGAAGCAGGCTCCATGCTGTCAGCACAGAGCATTAATATAAAATTTCAAAGTATTTTTCTTCCCTGTCTCTCTGAGAAATGCACCAAGTTTCTGGGGAGAAATTGCTATATAGTGAGAGAGATTTATATGTATTTCACTAATACAGATACATACACATGTATAAGCATGCAATACATACATATATACATTTTTTAAAGTTTATTTGTGTATTTTGAGAGAGAGAGCATGCCCATGTGCAGGGGAGGGGCAGAGAGAGAGGAGAGAGAAAGAACCCCAACCAGGTTCCACGCTGTCAGCACCAGAGCCCGATGCGGGGCTCGAACCCACAAACTGTGAGCTCATGACCTGAGCTGAAGTCAGATCAACTGACCGAGCCACCCAAGCGCCCCTCGACAATTTCCAACAGCCTTTTGCTCTTCCCAATATTAATTTTTAATTGACCTGTAATATGGACCAGGCACTGGGCCTTCCATGCATGTCCCTCCAAAAATGCCACGCTGTGTCCCAAAGCCTTACGAGTAGCAGGACTTGAATTTACGCAGCGTGCAGAAGGTATCTTGGAACTTTCCCTGCTCCTGTAACCCGTTTTTCCACAAAGTCAGCCTCGGGTGGGTCCTCAGGAGATTCTTTCTTGTGGCTCTTCCCTCGGCTTGTCCTGCCGGCCAGGATCTCCAGCGTGATGCCCAGTACAAGTGGCCATAGCTGTTGACTGTTCCCCATCCGCAAGGGAATGCTTTTGGTCCCTGCGTTCTCTGCACTCACCATTTACTATTATGTGTGGGGTGGGTTTTAAGAAAAATACTTTCTTCTTTTTGTAGTGTAGCAACTATTTCTTGCCATGATAGATGCTGAATTTTGTAGAATGCTTTTCTGCATCTATTAAGACGATCAGGAGCTCTTTCCCGTTTGATCCGTTATACAGTCAGTTCATCCTGTCGTGTTGTCTTTTTTATTATTTATAAGTGGATTTGATTTGCTGGTGCCTTGTTGGTGATTTTATGTCAGCGTTTATGAGTAAAATCATCTATGAGTAGTTTTCCTTTTCCAGACTATCCTTGATGGTTGGTATGGGTTATGCCAGCCTCCTAGAGTGGAAAGAGTTACGTATTTTCCTACTTTGTGGAAGAATTTATCCAAGACTGGAATGGTATGTTTATTTGGCGGGAACATTTTTAACTATGGATTTGATTTTTAAATTTTTCACCAAATCATTAGGTTTTATTTTTTTGATAACATTTTGGTACTTTTTTTTTCCCTAAGAATTTTTTTCTTTTACCTGTTTATAATTCCTTGGCACAAATCTATGTAGAATAATCTATTTTTCCTATCTGCAGCAATTACTTTTTCATTCATAATGTGATTTTACTGTATTTTGTTTTTTAAAGTTTATTTATTTTGAGAGAGAGAAAAATTCGAGTGGGGAAGGGGCAGAGAGAGAGAGAATTTCAGGCAGAGAGAATTCTGGATGTGGGGCTTGAACTCACAAACCAGGAGATCATGACCTGAGCCAAAACCAAGAGTCGGATGTTTAACGGACCGAGCCACCCAGGCGCCCCCATAATATGATTTTAAAAAATGATTGTTCTTTTTTTTCCCCCTTTGATCAGTATTATCAGAGGCTTGTCAACTTCAGAACACTTTTCAAAGAATTATTTTGGATTTATGGATCCTCTCTGTTGTATGTTTGTATTTGTATTTATTAATTCTGTTCCTAATATTATTTCCTCTTCTGTGGGATAAGTTTATTTCCCATTTACCCTAATGATGACAGTGTTGCTCTTAGAGATCTACAAGGGGGGACCCTCCACACTTCTTTCTCCGGATGAGACTGAGGCTTTGAGTTTTCACTGTCAAAACAGAAATTCAACACCAGGGTTTGGCTTACACCCCCAAAAGCAAAGTGGATTACCTATCGGAATTCTCACTTTTACTTTATTTTTTTTTTTTTAAGTTTATTTATTTATTTCTGAGAACGTATGAGTGGGGGAGGGGCAGAGGGAGAAGGAAAGAGAGGGAATTCCAAGCAGACTCCACACTCAGTGCAGAGCCTGATGGGGGGGCTCGAACCTACAAACCAAACCGTGAGATCATGACTTGAGCCGAAGTCAGACGCTTAACCGACTGAGCCACCCAGGCGCCACCCCTAAATTCTCACTTTTACGTCATTTCTGGCTTCTGAGAACGTCTTTTCTTAGCAGCCCAGCGATACCCTTCACAGCGATAAAATGTGAAGTGTTTGTTAAGCACGTGAGCCGTCTTCAGTAGGCGGCTGGCTGGGGGTGTCTAATCTCCTCTGTCTCAAGAACTAGAAGACATTCTGCTTGTTTCTTCCCCGAGTCTCCTGTCTTTTGCTCCCAGGTTTCTGGCTTCAAATTCCAGGGTGTGCATCTGATCCTGGGGTCTTGTGTGGCTTTTCTAAGGTGGCTTTAAATACTTCAAAATGTACCTCCAAACACCAAATAACCTCTTTTAGGGCCCATGTTGATGGTCCTTGACTACCTCACTAACAGGCCATATTATATTCACACTGTCTCTGTTTCTTTGGAAAGGCAGGGGAGTGGAACCGGGGAGAAGGAATAGGAGGAGAGGTGGGTGTAGAATAAAATCCCTGTCAGTCTCCCGAGCTCTGAGATGTCCTGGCTGCTACCACATGCATAGGAGGGACCCATTCTACACCAGCTTCACAGGGCAGGCTTCTCCCTGAAGATGAAGCAAAAATGATCAAGGGCTGCCCATTGTTTTTTCAATTATATACTTTTAGCTAATAAACAGTTTCTTTATACATACACACGAATATAAGTTTTCATAAGTGTGAGCATAGCCTGTAGTCTTTTTTGTTGTTGTTGTTCCTTGTCATTTTTTGCTTGATTTTCCCCTCAAGTTCCTCCGTATTTCTCCTTGTTCATCATCCCTGGACCTCAGTCTCCGCCCGATAAAACACGTTATGGCCCAGGATGTGTTCTTCCGGATTTTTCTCCATGCCCATGTAATCCTACAAGTGAAAATTTGCCGTTATTTATTCTATAAGAATGGGTTCATATTATACACACTTGTGTTTTTCACTCAATAATGCTTCATGGAAATCCCTCTAAGCCAACTGGTATAGCTCTAACTCATTCTCTTAATGGTTATAAAAATCTCGTTTTGTGTGGATATACATAATTTATTGGATCATTCCCCTACTGATGGGCATTATTTCCGGGTTTGTCACTACAAACAAGGCTATAATAAATATTCTTGTGAACATGTCCTTTGTAGCAGCAGTTTTATGTTTATGGGATAGATTCCCAGGAGTGAAATTGAAGGGTAGAAGGGTATGTGATATTTATTACATTTTAATAGACATTGTCAGATTGTTTCCAAAAGGCTGTGACAATTTCCACTTCTATCAACAATATGTGAGAGGACCCTCTTCAGTGCATCCCCGAGGTTTTACTCCATTTGTATTCATTTGATGCTTTCAATTTAAAAACCTTTTGGCGTATAATAGGAGTAAAGTGATATCTCATTGTTGCATACATTTGCATTTCCCAACCGTAATTAATTTAAATAATTTTGCTATTTGGATGAGCTCTTTTCTGAATCCCGTATTTACTATCTTTTGTGTATTTTTCTGAATTGCTTTTTTTTTTTTTTTTTGGCCAATTTGTCAATGCTCTTTTTATCTTATAGATATTCATCTTTGGTCTGTTACTTGTGTTATATTTTATCCCAAATCTGTTATTTTTCTACTGATTTTTTTTGTGGCTTTTTTTTTTTTTTTTTTTGCCCACAGATGTATAAGGGTGTTTATTTACATAGTTAAATGTGTTTATCTTTTATTTTCAACATCCTTTTGGTTTCCAGTCTCAGTCTGAAAAGTGTTTGTCAACCTTGGGATTATAGGTCCTAGCAAAGAGTCCCCAGAGCCATTGTGTGAGAGGGACTTACACTAAGATCCCTTAACCTGGATAATGGATAATGAAGCTAGGACGTTTTGCTTATGATTGGGTAGACTCAGCTCTGACGATGGCTAGTGAATCGGCTTCTGGCTAAAGGACCATCCAGCAAGAATTGACCAGTAGGATGTGATCATACCTGTGCCATATCCAGGGAGGACGACTGATACCGTCACTGCAGAATGACCCAGAGCCCAGGGAGAGACCTGAGGGAGGGAGGACAGACTGACAAGGAAGTATCTTCCTCTTCCCCCAGAAATAGGGTAGGACTTGAGAGATGAGAAACCCAAGTGTGGGTGAGGAATTTAAAACTCAGAGAGGGACAGGATTGGCCCAAGATCACACAGCTTGTTCAGGGGCAGAGCGGAAATTTAAATCAGGTCTTCTAACTCCAAGACCTGTGCATTTCCCAGATTCCATAGACACAACTGTTACAGTGTTGTGGTCATAACCATGTAAAATTCTGGGTCAGGGTGAAAACTTACTCTGTTACAGGCACTGTTCTAAGCACTTAGCATGTAATATCGTATTTCACCCTCATAAAAGATTGGAGCTGGTATTTTCTCTACTTTTTAGAGGAGAGAACTGAGGCATAGAGAAATGAAATACTTCATCCAAAGTTACATGGCTAAAAAGTTGTAGAGCTTTGATTCAAACTCAGTGTAACTCCAAAAACCTATAACACTAACCTCGGGCCACACAGCCTTTTGACATAAGTTCCCTGCCTCTCTTCCTCTATTTCGCTTTCTATCCTTTGTACGATAAATTTATTAGTATATATATTCATTATTTTTGTTTGTTTGCTTCCCAGTATATCATTTTTAAGGTCATTTCTTAGCCACTCCAGTGAGTTGAGGTGAATAAAGTTCGTTGGGGAGTTGTCCTGTGGCCAGGCCTCGGTTATTGATGTAATAATTGACCTTATGAAATGTATTTGCTGATGTTCTAGATTACAAAGACAAACCAAGCAAAGAGGAAGAGTTGGAGAGGAGAGACCGTGAAGACACGGAGAATTCCGGGACTCTGCTGTCTATCTCCGCATAGGCTTGCTGGGATCGGGGCGCTGCTGATTAGCACTGGCTCTTGCTTAAGAGAAAGGAGAAATATCTAAAATAAAAAAATAGTGACAACTGAGGTTTTCCCATTCTCTGTGGTTATGTTCACATTGCTGAAGGGGTTCAGGAATTCTTTTCTTCTGGTAGAGTCAGCACTATTTTAAGCACCTGCTGTGTGCAGGACATAATGGCGGATCTCACCGGAGACCCACACGTGCATCGGCTTTAGTAGGTGCTGGATGGCCTTAGGGAGGCAGAGATGTATTAACTTTGACATAAAATTGATATCGTTAAATGCCCTACTACAGCTCAAATCAAAGTACAAAGGAAAGGTAGGAGAGAGAGGAGAGGGTTCAATGGGATTATGGGAAAATCATCCTCGCATGATGTGTTAATAAAAAAGCAAATACTATACTTGAACAGGCAGATTTGTGGGAGTTGTGGGCAGGTAACAGAGGTAATGGTTTCTTTTAAAGTTTTGTTTTTTCTTTAAGCTTATTTATATATTTTGAGAGAAAGAGAGTGAACAGGACAGGGGCAGGGAGAGAGGGAGCGAGAGAATCTCAAGCAGACTCCTCACTGTCAGTGCAGAGCCTGATGCGGGGCTCAAACTTACAAACCATGAGATCGTGACCTGAGGTGAGGTCGGACGCTTAACTGAGCCACCCAGGTGCCCCAACAGAGGTAATGTTTTTACTCACAAGTCAGGAAACCTGGGTTCTAGCCCCACGTCTACAATCCTTCCCAGTGGTGTGACCTTAGGCAAGTCGCTTAATCTCTCTGAGGCTGTTTCTTCACCTGTAACGTGGGGGCATTAAAAAGTACCTAGCTTTTAGGTTTATTGGGAGGATTTTAGCTCTGTATCTGGCACATTGGAGGTTCTCAGTCAGTGCTTGAGATGAAGCGTGTGTGTGCATGTGCATTAGGGCTCACGCGTGTACGTTGGGAGACGGTTGGCTGGTGGGCAGGCAGGTGGGGAGCAGGCAGGTAGGGAGGGCTGTGGGTGAGTGTCGGGAGGGGTGACAAAATTGGGGGAGGAAGATATACTGAGAGATAAGAATACAAAGCTACATAAGAATCAAAGAGTGGAAAATCTTAGATTTTACTCTGTTGGAAACCGACCCAACCCTGTTTTTGATCTGATGATTAGAAAGTGCCCTCAGGTCATGGAAGAAATGACCAGACCTTGTGGTTGGAGACTCAAATATTTACTTAGTGTCTATTTAGAGCAACAGATTGTACCCCTCTCCCGTCCTCTTTTTATTTTCCAGGCTGTCCTTCCCCCGTGTTGGGAGGGTTAGAGGACAAAGGTGATATTTTTGAGAAACAAACAAACACCCAAAATTATGTCTCATCTGGTGACATCCTCCAAACCCAGCTCTTCGTAAGTTTTCTTCATATGGGCTCCAAAAAATAATGGGGTTAGGAGGGGAGGGGCTTATGAGGTTAGCAGAAAACGTCAAACCACATGAGACTTTACTTACTTCCACGGAACTGTCTTTCCTTCCCTGGAATAATACCCTGCAAATTGTAAATAAGGTACAGCAGCTAATCAGTCACAGAAGGGCCTTTCTGCTGCCAACCCATCCTCTGGAGAATGGAATCCCGAGGGCAGATTTAGAGAACTGAAATCCAAATCTGTGGAATTGCCAAAGCTCCCTGCCCTGGCCTGCCAAGTTCAGTGTGAACTTCTGTGAACTTTGTAACAGAATCAGCCGCCTTTGTGCAATGCAATTCCCACTTTCTTCCAACTATCTTCCATTATGGAAGATAGGGTTTTAGGGAGATACAGCAGGCCAGTGCTCTTACTTAGCTCATGAAGCTTCATTGCCGATGTTAAATCTCATGGCTCAGGCACTCTTTTCTGATTAAAAAACTGCTAGGGGCTCAATCTGGCTCCCCTCTCCTTTATTACTGTTCTTTAGAAGAAAGTCTAAGAATTGAGCCCGTCGTGGGAGTTAAGATTTCAAGCCAACGATTAATGGCATGATTGCATGTGTTTTCTTTCTGAATTAACCCATATGACCCATGGCATTTGCACTTCCCGTTAACCATTTCACATATCAACGAGCCCTGTATTTATTCGGGTGCTGGAATCCTAGTGCCCTCTGTTTCACTTTGTAGGGAGAGAAGTCTGTGATGGGCAGGCCTTTTCCCGGAGAGCAGGGATGGGGGGCCCTGCCTTCCGTCCTCTGGAGGAAGAATTCTGTCGGTCTCTGCCCCGTGACCGAGGCTTGTCACCGCGGGACCTTTCAGTGTTTCATATAAAAGTCCCTTTGGTGATGCATCGCCCACCAAATCTAGAACTAACATGACCACTGTGCACTTCTAATGAATCAGGCCTTTCTTAAAAAATGTCTGCTCTTCTTACAGCAAGTATGTAGTTGTTAGTCTTCAAGCTCTCTCCATACTTGATGGAGAAAGAGGTGGTCTGTAGATGTACTCTTGCCAGGTTTAGTCAGCTCAAATTTGAGCAATAAAATGAAAACTCTGATTTTCAGTTTCTGGGGACCCCCCTCCTCCTGCCAGAAACTGTGTTGAGCCCAGCAACACCCCGCACCCCCCACCGCAGTTGTTTTCACGGCACTCCCTGAGATTGTGTGTGTGTGTGTGTGTGTGTGTGTGTGTGTATGTGGTTTTTTTGTTTTATGTTTTTTGTTTTTTAAGGGCCAGTGATGCCATGGGGAGGTAGGGAGGATGTTCATAGTTTTCCGGTTTTGGAAAGGGTCACCTTCACATTATTTGTTCCTTTAATAAGAATTGGGTGGGTATATTGTTGAGGGGGGAAGAGACAGAGACAAAGAGAGAGAGAGAGAGAGAGGGAGAGAGAGAGAAAGTTGGAGGGGGGGACTTTGTTTTATTTAATTACTTCAATTTGTTTTAAGTGTTGATGTTTAATTTATTTTGCGATCCAAATAACATTAAAGGAGGATGTGGATTTTTTATGTTTATTGAAAGAAAAGAAAGAAAGAAAGAAAGAAAGAAAGAAAGAAAGAAAGAAAAGAGAAAGAATGGATCCTGGAGTATTACCTGACATGTAACATTATATAAATTTTAGGTGTACAACATGTTGTTCTGATACATTTATGTATTGTACTATGATTGCCATTGTAGCCATAGTCAACACCTCTCTCGCCTCATGTAATTACCATCTCTTTTTTTGTGCTGGGAATAATTAAGATCTAATCTCTCGGCCAATTGGATGATCATAATACAATACTGTTGTCTGTATTCAGTAACCTGTGCACCAGGTCTCCAGGATTTATTTATCCACACGTTGCAAGATTGTACCCCAAATAACCAGGCACCTGCAGCCAAGAAAGCATGAATTTAAAAGGCTGGGGAGTGTTAGTATAAAGCCCCCTACTATATGCTCTGTCCTCACCTAGATCGCTTTCCTCTCCCTCCATCTTCTCTAAAGGGGTATGCACTCATTTCTTAAAGCCCAGCTTACAGGGCGCGCTCCCTCGGAGAAGCCTGTGCTGACCATCCCAGCCAGGAATCTTTCCTCTTCTAAAAATCCTGCTGTATTTTGAAGCTTCTTTGAAACAGTGTTTTTCCATTGCTGTCATTTATCCACATCTCTGAAGTTTGTATGTTTTTGTATTTCTGCAGTGACCAGTCTGGCTTTTTTTTTTAAGTTTATTTATTTATTTGGGGGGGTGGAGGAGAGAGAGAGAGAGAGAGAGAGAGAGAGAATCCCAAGCAGGCTCTGCACTGTCAGCACAGACCTTGATGCAGGGCTCAAGCTCACGACCTGAGCCAAAATCAAGAGTCAGATGCTTAACTGACTGAGCCACTCAGGCACCCCAGGCCCAGCATAGGTTTTGCATACAGGTGGGTATGTACCTGAAGGTATATATTCAAAAAATACTTATGGTGTAAAGAAAAGGATGATCTGGAAATTCTGAGAAAAAGAAAAGAAAAGCAAATGATTATGTAGTTAGATGAATACTCAGGAAAAGGACGTAAGTAAATCTTAGAAGACATCTCAGGTAACTGCCCGCCACAGAGCCACACCCTGTGGCCGCAGAGAAGCTAGGAATGCGCTTACCCAGGAGGAGGAAGTGAGAGGAGCTGGGGCTCGGAGGGGGTCGGGCTTCCTCTTCCCCTGGGGCTCTGAATTCTGTAAGGTGGGCGATCAGTGGCAGAAACACATAGTCATTGGTTCTCTGAAATAATCTTTAAGAGTTTTTAAAAACTATTATTATTATTGCTGTTATTGTTATTGGTCAGGAAAATCCAAGACATTTGCAATACAAATCAGAGTTCCTACACCATTGGCCAGAACTGTTTGGAACCTCATGAGAACATCGGATCTTCTTTATGGTGTCCAGAGTATGCGGTCAGTCTCTTCACTGGAGAATATGGGTCATATTATGCTTTCACTCTTCTTTCTCTATTTATTCCGGGGTCCTCTAAGCCAGATTTCCTGTTTGTTGATGCTGACTGAAGTTTCAATTTGTCTACACTTTCTTCTGAAAACCTACCTTGGAGGAAGCTTCTGGACCCTATTGTGGACTAAGTCCTGCTGCCCCCTGAATACTTCCTTCCTCCTTTAGCTCAGACCTCTGAAGGGGGGTAAGGGGGGCACTCCCTGTGCCTGTTTTGTATCTTTCACCCAAATGCCAGATTCCTAGATCCAACTGTCTACGTAACCTCTTCCCACGGATGTCTGCTAGGTGTCTTACGATTGATATGTCCCACACCAAGCTCTCCACTGTGCCCCGTGCACCCCTGCTTTTTCTCCTAACTGTCCTGTTTCCATGAATGTTGGATCCAGCCCTCAGCCATCGAGGCCAGTTATCTTACAGTCAATATGGACACGTCTCTTGCTTTCAAGCTCTACATCCAATGTATCAACGGTACTTTCAGAATATATTCTTAATTCACTCAGTCACCTCTCGCCACCTCTACTGATCCTTTCTGGCTTTGAGCCACCAGCATCTTTTGCTTGGATTCTTGCAATGGCATCCGACTGATTTACCTGCTTCTGTCCTTGTCCCACCTCTATGACCTCTTCTCAGCAGGCAGACCGGTGGCCAAATCATGGCATTCCCTGCTCAAAACCTTCCAGTG